AACCCTCCGAGCAAGAACAAACCAGTGCAAAAGTTAATTGCAAAATACGTATTCGACTGCTATGAGAAAAGAAGATCATTAGTTCTTTAGGTTAACATTGATTATAGTTCCACTAGTGTGCAATTTGTGTTATGATTTTAAATTATTTGGATAAAGTCGATGTACATAGGACTGTATAAGACTCCAAATAAAGCATTGTCTTGTCTTGTCTTGTCTCTACTGTTAGATTCTAGTAAAATTACTCTCATGAAAAGGTAAAAAAGATGGCTATTACACGTTCGTTCTGATTTATATTTCATCCTCTCGAGAATATGAGTTCGGTGCTCAATTGTAAAAAAAATTCATCTCGCCACTGTGTAAAATCGAGCTCAAATTTAGGTTTAATTGACAAATAATCTTTTTTAAGACAAAATTTTATGGTTAATAGACATTATGCTCTGTTCTCGAACCGGCCACCAGAGAAGTGCCAGGTGTTGCTAGTTGTCGTATTAACGCGTAGTTAGTGTCAGTCATTCAACTGGTTATAGCCTTTAAATTGCTAATTTTTATTGATGTTGGCAGTTACAAAAACGACTTCTCAAACCGGTACTACTTCTCAACTGAGTGGGCAACTGAAATGGCGATTCTTCTTCCATTTCCTCGTTTGAATTTGCTAACACTTTTCAAGGTTAGTTTGGAATTTATCACCTAATTTGTTTCGTTTTTTGATGATAATGTTTGTTTTCACAGAATTGGCAGTAAAAAAACAGGGGCACCAAAGGTCAATTTTTCGGAAAATATCTGTTCGGAAGACGAAATTTCTTGCTTGCCTGCCTCTCCTAGGATTTTCGAACATCTAAAAAATGGTATAATTGCCCATTTTTAACGGGTTTTTACCCTAAAAAGGTCACCTAGAATTTTCGGGAGCCTTTTTTCTGGCTGAAATTTTCGAAAAGGTTAGTTTTGATCCCTACAATTTTCGGATCACTAGACTTTCAGGTAGGAAATCCCAACAGATGCCTGAAACAATTTTAGGGGATAAAAATATATATCTACCGTTTAAATACTAAAATACGTTTAACAATGCGATATATGTTTAAGGTCTTTAAGTGGTTTTGAACTATATTCTCTTTAGGTGCCCCTGAAATAATTAGTGATAGAGGGAAACTGATTTCTCAAAACAAGCCTTTCACTCTTTTGTCTCTCACCATCGTCCGCGGGCATGCAGTGGTTAGTTAAGGTGGATCTATTTGTGTGGCTCTTCCCGTTTATCCATATCCCTAAAGATACAAAACTGCTGTCGAGTGTTTCTTTTTTAGAGACACTGCGGTATTATTACAAAATCATGTGTTGACAAACAATTGGAGGGAAGTAATCCATCTCCCTCTGAAAAATTTACATCACTGCACAATACGTCAATTAGCGCACCGAGGATTAATCAGTCCACTTGTGTGTTACTGACGTTCGAAAAAATTACGTTTTAAGACCGTGAAAACAGTAGATAACAAGGTGTAATTTATTTTCCAGTGATTTGTGTACAACAATAATAAATTCGTATGAACGAAACACGGCGTAACCGCAGGTTGATCTCATTCTTTTAACGCCACGTAATACAGTGTTCTAGGTCTGGTTCATGACCCGATAAAAACAGGTGAAATGTTTGTCATATCTGTGTGATGACAAGACCAATTACTATTTCCCAGTGCTAAGAAGCTGGCTTTTTCCAGTAGTGCTGGTCTACCCGGTCTATCCGCAACGGAAATGTCGATTTTGGCCAAAACCCTCTCAGTTACAGACTAGAATCAGGGCACCCAACGACCGAATGTTTCCAAATAAAATTGTCGAGAAATAGGTCACTGTAATAATAATCTCAGATAGTTTTCTCTATGATTTAGAGACCTGTTCGGATAATTTAGAGCTGCCTTACCATTATCTATTGGGATGTCTTAGGGGAAACTTCATCGCCTTGAAAGTTAGGAAGCTTAACAGTTTTTGATCGGGGACGAACAAGTTACCTACCCTGATGGGTCTGGTCGAAAGTTCGAAGACATGAAGTAGGCGAACTTAAATTAAAAGAATATAGCTTTTACATTTCACTTCTCATGCAGGTTAAGCAAAGGAAACCAAGAGCCACAATAGGACCACTATGGCTCTCGAGGAAAACCTAAAATTTCCAGATTCAAAAATGTATGGAGAGAGGAATCAGAATAGTTGTCACGTCAGAAAACTTTAAATTGCATCTAATATTTTCGGTAAAACAATACTGAAGCTCTTGTAATTTCTGAAAGGTTCAAGTTGCTCTAAGATGACCGAACAGATACAAATCTTTTAGCACCGCTTAGAATACATTTTCAGAAATCTAAAAGTAACCTGGAATGTATTTAGGACGAAAGCGTCATAGGGTGCCCCTGATTAGCCTAATAGAGATTTGAAAAACCTGTCCAAACTACTAATTTCGCTGCTGATCTTATGAAAACAGGGGCGTAGCGTCCCTAGTGCAAATACGCATGTGCTTACTTGAGAAATTTGTAGCATTTTTCTGAAAGGTTTTCTCTTTTAAGGGCCTGTTTACATGGAGGTGGGGACCTCAGGTAGGGGAGGTAACCCGCTTTGGTGGGTAACCCGCCTGTCCACATAATCTCTCATTTTAATTTGATCACGTTTACATGATAGGTGGGATAACCCGCCACATGTTACCTCACCTATCTGGGGTCCCCATGCACCTCCATGTAAACAGGCCCTAAGTAAAAGCCATTTTTTGTAGTGTCGTGACTTGACTTTGTATTGAGCAGATTTGTTCCTGTTTATCTCGCTGTTATTCCGCATCGTTTTCACTCGTAAAATACAACAGTTTGAGTAGTGGAATGTGATAAATCGAAACATTCTTGAAATGTTTGCGTTCAGGCGATCCCACAATACATTGCATATTTATGAAAATCGGAAAAGAAAAGACCGTGACTGATTATCATTCCTTTTAAGATTTATCTGGAAAGTTTTCCCATTCAAAAACTTTTCATTTGTTAGTTTTCTCTCTCTCTTTCCATATTGGGGATTCGAAAAGACTACTTTAATGTCGCTCAACTGGAAAATCATAGACCAAACCATGCCGACGATATTCCACGTAAGCCGAAGCAAACTATTAGGTACACCGGTGGCGCGGTATCAACAAGAATTTTGCAGAAAATTTACTCCTTGCGAACAGATGTATTTTTTCGATGACAAACTTTAGACATATTCAGAACAACTGACAATATTAATAAATGTTGACTGTCAATTGTTTGTTCCTTTTCAGTGCTCTGATGATGATAGAAATAAGAGAAAAACTCAAAAAAACTCAACAAAGGACTTAACGGATGCGTAAAATTTACACCAACATGCACAAGCCGCAATTCTTCCAAACGATGCTTTTAGAATCCAAATTTCTGCGCAAAGAAAGGCGCCTCGCCTTGTGCTGGTAAACATTCTTGTACCAGCTCAAAGAAGAACGTTTTAAAAGAGCGACTGTCTGTAAATATCGACCAAAATCGTCTTTTTGTGGCACAAGTTAAAAATTCGAATTTCGCTCATTTTTGGCTCATCGATAACCCTTAATGAGTAATGACACGTGCTGTAGTTAGTTTTCCCAAATAACGTATTCTTTTGTTAAAATTCGAGAAAACTCATTTTGCCCGTTCGGAGCTCAAAATCCACTTCCGGTAAAACGAAATTTTACACAAATTTCATTGACTCGTACGTCAAACTACAAAGATTTGGCAGCCTTTGAAGAACACGAATAGTTTTTATGACCCTTTCTTTCTCATAAGACGATATGTTTGTGGCCAAAAAGGTATTGTTAAAAATTGGCCCTATTGACAATTTCACCGGTTCAAAATTATAGGGTTAAAATGATGTAAATTTTTAGAACGCGCTATAACTTAGAATTTCGCAAATTGACTTTCTACGGTTTAACTAGGCCCCAATATATCAGAAAATCGAAACAAATCTCTGGGCAAACGATTTTAAGTAGCCCGCAAGACGCCCAGTTCAACCCTAATTTTCCGAAAAATCGCGACATTCCAGTGGTTAAAAATAGCGTGACACGGCCCGTCACGCCAGCGGTGTTAACGACAGATTCACTTTCAACATTCTATTCAACACTGATCACACGCCAAATTCCAGCGTACAATCTATATTACATCTTTCAATACATCTATCTTATTTAGAAGAGTCATTTTGTTTGGATACAATATATAGTGTAGAATTGCCCAAAAGTTGGCTTTTTTGAGCGACGTCGGCAAGGCGTCGACGACCGAGCCCAACGAAAACAAACTTTGAACAAGTACAGTGGTGTGTTTCATTAATTTAAGCATCCGTCAAAAGGCATAAATACGTTAAATTTAAGACAGGGATAACCAATATTAACTAATTCGAGCAATGTTTTTTTCTTGCGAGTTTTCTCTTTCAAGTAATTATGTATAAGTATAAATGTACGTTTGGATGTATTACAATCACGCTTATAAAGGGAACATTGTAACGAACGTTTCAGAAAACTTTTTAACTCGTTTCGATCGACGATGAAACGCCATCATCAAAAACAAATCACCAAAAACTTTCCTCTACAGCAAAACGGAAAATAGAGAAAAAAAGTGGCGTTTTGCTAATGCTAAAGCAGGAATAGTTGCAGCGTGATCATGAGCTTTTAAAAATGGCAAATGCTCCTAAATGGACATCTATAGATCCCTTGCATCGCCATTGGAAAAAAACTCTCTGGCCCACTATGAACTAGCCTATTCCAGGCGTAGTGGACAGTGGATGGTGGATAGAGGGCAGTGGCGCGAAATGGGGAACGGAGGAAAACAAACGTGGAAAAGAGTAAGAGGGAGAGAGTAGGAGGACCTTTCGCCCTCAATCCCTAACCCCGCCCCTTCGCCATTTTTTCTAGCCCACTTTTCTTTGCGTTTTCCCAACTATCTGAAGGCCTGTTCCAGGTTACCTACGTCCTTCATTTACAAATTTTTATGGTATATAACGTATTTATTCGATGAACTGCCCTGGGCGCTTATTAAAGTTTTCGACCTTGAGAGTGGGCGCTTATTCGAGGTGGGTGCTTATTCGAGGCTGGGCGCTTATTAAATTTCGCCATTCTCGGCAAGTGTAGTATGTTTATTTTGCAACAAAACAATAAATGGTAGTAACAAAAAGCGGACATGTAACAAAGCAAGGTTTCTGTAATATGCTCTGAAGAAAACTCCGTCTTCGGGAGGGTCTCTTATTATCTCTTATTTAAGTTTGTGTAGGAGGGAGTGGGGTGGTGGTGGGCGCTTATTCGAGGCTGGGCGCTTATTAACTGTTCTGCCTTTAGGAGGGGCGCTTATTCGAGGCGGGCGCTAATTTGAGGTTGGGCGCTTATTCGAATAAGTACGGTATTCAACTTGAGCGTCGAGCACTTTTGGTGCTTTGTTATTGATCAGCAGGAAAGGATTTGGTAGTACTAACTTTTCAACTGCTTTTAGACTGCGAATTTTTTTTCTTTCTTTTTTGTTTTCTTTCTTTTATTTTGTCTTTGTGAGTTTCTACGGTATTTTTTAAACGTATTTTTCGATCCTCTCCCCAGTCTCACTCACTCTGCTCCCCCTCCCCTTTTTCCGAAAAAAAAAAACAACAACAACAATAAAAAGAGGGACACAAAATAGAGTATAATACTAAAGCTAAGAAGAATCTTGTAACGAACGAATGGGAACACCTAAAAAGGAAACTTTCCTCATCCTCCGTAGCCTTAGTCCATGAAACGTAGACGCCCAAGCGGGCCTCCAAAACCTTACCTTTGTCTTTGTCACAAACCGAATAAGACTGAAAGCCTTAGTCTGCTTTACGTAAGTACCGTGTAGATCTCCAGAAGAATTGTTTGCAGCCGGCCCTCAAAACCTCAAAAGACTTCGCCTGCTGCTGGTCAATATATAGGAAGACTACTCCAAAGAACTGCTCCAGAAAAACTACTTTTCTTAACATTTTTCTGGGGTAGAGGAATAGCGAGTTTTCTGTGTCTCTTAATAAGTAATTAGAGTTATTGCAACGTTCTGCCCTTAGTACGATCTACTATGGTACTTAAGATAGATGACGCATATTCTGGGATACACTCGCCTCTCACAGCTCTTTGACGAAATGTTCCTAGCGGCAGATAGCGATGAGAGGAAGCTGTATCGCAGGCTTTTGGACACACGGATTTTCTGCTATTTACATGGGTAAACCGGTCGCTCCACGGTTTGGGCAAATGGTGAGGAGAATTCAGGACTGATTAATTTTGATTCCGTTCGGTAATCGCGTTTACCATTTGCCTAAGTCAGTTTCGTTTAATGAAAAACGGCCGCGAAAGCCTGAAACTGATATTCAAAAAAGGTTTGAAGACATGAAATCCGAACTTCTGCCTGAAAGTTTCCAACCAGGAAGACCAGGAAAATAGGCGAATGCCTTGTCAGACGTTCCGTTTGTTTCAGGAATTTTCCACTGAAACGTCGAACCCGAAACTGAGTTAATGGTAAGCCTGGCAAAGCACCAAAGTGTCCTCTTAGTTTGTTTTAATGGGTCATGTATATAGTCATGCAGTAGCTTCATGATTCATACACGTTGTCATACAAGTATATAGGCTCCTCTTTGGCCTCCACCTAGCTTTTTTATCAGTTTTGAGAACCCGCAAGGGTAAAAACTTGGAAAAGAACTATTTCACCAATACTTAGTCTAAAATATATTTATTCTTTAAAATTGCTTCAAGGAAATTAGTTTTTATAAACCAAATGGCATTGATTGGGGATGATTTAATTCGTAAATATCTCTCAATGCAAAAATTCATTCAGTAATCAGTTTTAGTATTTAGATTTTGTTCTGTTTATATACCATTTTTTGAGGGGAATCGCCAGTCTGAAACTGAACATGAAAGTTTGTGACGCTATCCCAGGAACCCTATATGTTGTATCTGAAGAAAATGCTGCAATCAATGAGAATCATAGGTTTACTGAACGATTTAATTTCAAATTGGCTTTTAATCTGCCTTTAAATAAATTGTTTAAAGCATATCTATAGGCAACACTGGCGTGACGGGCCGTGTCACGCTATTTTTAACCTCTGCAATGTCGCGTTTTTTTGCAAAAGCAGGGTTGAACTCAACGTCTTGCGGGCTACTTAAAATCGTTTGCCCAGAGATTTGTTTCGATTTTCTGATATATTGGGGCCTAGTTAAGCAGTAGAAAGTCAATTTTCGGAATTTTAAGTTATAGCGCGTTCTAAAAATTTGCATTTTTTAATCCCTATAATTTTGAACGGTAGAAATGGTCAATAGGGCCTATTTTTAACAAACCTTTTTGGCCACAAAATTATGACAGCTTTGACAAATTTATCGACTTTTTTTTGGCCACAAACATATCGTCTTATAAGAAAGAAAGGGTCATAAAAACTATTCGTGTTTTTCAAAGGCTGCCAAATCGTTGTGGTTTGACGTACGAGTCAATGGAATTTGTGTAAAATTTCGCTTTACCGGAAGTGGATTTTGAGCTCCAAACGAGCAAAATGCGTTTTCTCGAATTTTAACAAAAGAACACGTTATTTCGGAAAACAAACTACAGCATGTTTCATTACTCATTAAGGGTTATCGATGAGCCAAATATGAGGGAAATCAAATTTTGAACTTGTGCCGACCGTGGGTCGATATTTACGGAAAGCCGCTCTTAAAAGCTTTTTTTGATCGCACGTTTTATTAAAAACAAGCCTGTAAACTGTCAATTATATATTAAAGGAAAGCAGAAACGTTATTAAGTGTGGAGGTTTTAAAACCATACTCTGATTTACTGAGCCATTTTGTGTTGATGTAGGTGACAGTGTCCATTGTCCTGTTGATGCCATTGGTATCTGCCGCAGTTGTTGGGCCATCAGCTGCTGGAGTCGGCGCAGATTTTGCCAGCGCCAAGAAGCTCATTGACAGCCTGAAACCGAATCTAAACTACGCCCAAATCTGCGAGGGGAAGCTAATGGCGGGGCAGATGAAAAGCGTCTGTCATCTGAAACAAGTGCCAAGCGTGGCCTTCTTGTTCTGCCACTTCCAAGACCTCTGTGAATTTAACGTTCAAATGGAGATTGATAACATCCAGAAGCTTATTGCTGGGGGCGTTAGAACGGTGGCGATCGATAACCAATTGATCAAGGGCGTCAAGTGTGGAAAGACGGTCGACCTTACCTGTACTGGTTTCTTGGAGGGATGGGTTGGCGGAGGTTGGTTGGTGCGTCTGGACACTCTATTCTTCAACGGTCCCGTTGCTGTCAACAACTTTATCCAAAATACCATCCGGAAAAAGATCCTAACTTCCCAAGGTCTGAAGGCGACGGCCAACGATTTGATGAAAATCAAAGTTTACATGCTTGCAGGGAAACATAACTTGATTTGTGATCTACAGGGCTTTTTCTTGACAGCTGGAGGTTTCCTGGTCAGCGATCCTGGTGACATTAAGACGCAAATGGGCCTGGAACAGAGCTGTCCCGCCCATAGTCCTGGAACCAGCTTGCCAACCACAAAACAAGTTCTCGATGGATTGGATCTGCTCATTCAAGATTTGTCGAAGGGATGAGAGAAAAAAATGCAGACGACAATCTTAATTTTAATCTGAATTTAACTTCAATTTACCTGGCCTATTCTCCTGGAGCCTTTCTTTAATTTGTGCAAGGAATAAAATGAAAAATCAAGTGGATGCATGTATCGTTGTTTTCATGTATTGCAACTTTTAAAGTTTTGGGAGGCTCGCTATTTACTATTTTTGGGTTAACTATAGTTAATAGCGTTTGGCTTTTATTGAATTTTAATGGTCCATGTTTGTTATTCAAGATTACATTTTGGTATTGAAACATTTTACTGTCGCTTGTTGCGACGGATGGCAGGGATGGACATATATATTTGTTGAACCAACTTCTCATGACAAGTTTTTTTATGTGCCTGCAAAAAAAAACCAAACAAACAAAAAACGTGGCATTTAGATTGTATATAGAAAAATTCACAAGATTTTCTCTACGCTTTAATGTGCTGCTCTTAACACTTCTACACGCTTGGGCAAAAAAAAAGGACAGATGAACTCATGAGCAAAAATTGACTTATATTTTCTGATTAAGTACAACAATTCTCGCATCTGGAAGAATAAAAATGTGCTATTTGATTGGCTAATTTATAACAGGCAAATCCTCGCAATCCACGCTTTTGTGTGGAAAAAAATTGACTACTTGCAAACAGTTCGAGGATAGTCTCCTTCGCAGCCTTTACATATATTAGGGTCGTCACGCAACGCTCCTCCTGCGAAGGAGACTTTTCGAGAAAGGCAACGTGCTAAATATTCATAGTTCGTCACACAAAAGAATATTTCGAAACACTTTCATGGTAAAAATGTGTGGAACGTCTGAAGTCGAACCAAAAAAGAACACGAAATTCAAGTGGACGTCCCTTTCTGAAGCATGAAACTGAACATGCTTGTTGTCTTGTTGTAACATAAGAGTATAGTTGATGAAGGACAATCCTTATGGATTGAAATGGAACTATTTTCTTTACCAGTGGTTTTGTCTCTCACACAGAAGGCCCCTCTGCTAATGAACTATTTATGCTTATCCTTGCTCCGATCCATAACCTGGTTTCAGTTATGGCTGACCTGGCCAACAAGAGTGTTCTCAGATGATTTTATCTTGGATATCCGATGATGGGACGAAGCCACATCTACTCTTGTAGAGAAATTCCTGCGACAGACTAGTCTAGTAATGGCTGCACGAAATTCAGCTATCCTTAAAATATACACTACAAAATTGAGAAAAGAATTGCTCAAATGCAAAAACTTGCTCACTGAGGAGAGATAAGAGAGTAGTTGAAATCTCGTGAACAGGCACGGACGACAAAGATTAACAATGCTTAACATGATTGGATAAGGCAGCCCTGTAAACACGAAAATCACGGTGGCTATGACGAGTGTGATCGCTAAGCGTTTGTCTTTTTCTCTCACAGTTCTGTCGGCTCCAGAGATATCGCTGCTTCTTTCCAATCTCACTTTAAGCCACAGTATGATATAAGTTATAATAGTGAGAACAACTGGAGAACAGTACGATGTAGTGACAACGGTAAACATTAGACCCTGAGGTAACAACCTGTACATATCGAATAGCGGCAAAGAGGCGACCATTAACGCTAAAATCCATGGTATTGCGATAAATGCAAAGTACATCTTCAATGAAGTGACCCTGTGAAGAATGGGCCAGCCTATTGCAAACAGCCTCTCAAGTGATACTGCCCCCAGAGTAAATATAGAGGCCAGTCCTGGCAGAAAATCAAAGAACCAGAACACGCCCCTTCTTTTCAGAGTTATTCTGACAGCATTGAGCATTATAGTGATATAAATTGGTATCGACATGGATCCCACCATGATATCGGCACACGCCAGCGAGATTAGCAAATAGTGTGGAGGCCTTCTGAGTCTTGGTTGGGAGAAGGCTGTGATTGTGAGAGAGTTGAAAACAATCGTTAGCAGCCCAACGATCGCAAGGCAGACACTCCAAGCTATGTTTCCTGCTGATGGAGGAGGCATGCTCGATAAGTAAAATTGTGGAGACACGACGCCTTGGTAGGAAGTTGTGTTGTTGTTGATAGGCATGCTTGCTCATCTAACCTACCAGAAAACATAACAAACTCGCTGTAACGAGGACAGTCAAATGTTACTAGCACCAGCAGCTATTTCTATTGTTGCACGATTCGAGAAGACAGCAGCTATTCCAAATGGGCCAGAATAGGCGCCTTTTTTGTTGTTAGAAAGACGTTTTGAGGAACAAATCTTCGTAACGATTCTGAACCGACTCCCGACACATGAACCAAACGTTAAAAAGCTATCTTGTCTTTCTCAACCAATAAAATTTACGAACAATAACGTGCGATCCGTCTAGCAACATGAATTTAACTTATTTTTACAGATCAATGTAGTACAAAAAACGGTTTCAAGATGCCATTCTTTAATGAAACTCAGTTCGTGCATTTAGCATTTATAATGAGTATTTACCTTCTCGCGCACAATTCCACGAATAAAAAAAACAAACAATGCATTCACAAAGTGGGATTATTTGAAATTGTCGACAAGAGCAAGAGGAAAAAAGCAATAATAAAGAAATGACGTTGGTCTTACGTTAAACTGGCCGCTGAGTAAATATGACCACAGGTTTTCAAGGATTTCGATAAATTGTCATCTATCTTAGTCTAGTCTTGTCATCTATCTTAGTTCTTAATTTCTCAGCGTTTTTTGTTTGTTTTTTTTTTTTTTTCGTGAAAACATACACAGCATTTCCCTTATCCAGTTAGGCTTCGTTCATTTGCAGTTTTAATTATTCCATACTGTTTTATTTACTACTCACTTTTTGTCAAAGCAGACAGATAGCCGAAAATGTTCCAAATCAGTCTAGTGTATCCTGATGAATTTCAACCAGACTCTCAATAAATAGACAGCGAATAGCGCGCAGATTAGCTTTCCCGATAAAGATCATTGTGAAAAAGCTCTTCAAAACCCAGGACAAAGAGTCCCTCAAACAATGGAGCGATGGAGAACCATAATGATAATGATATTTTGTGTTATTTAAAAACCCCTTCAGTGTAGCCTGCATGGCAGGCGTTAAAAGGGGAAGGGGGAATTTGGGCGCGCGAGGGCGCGTTCCCCTCGTCCCTCCTCCCTCGCGCGTGGTCTCGCGCCCTAATTCCCTTCCCCTTCCCCTTCGAACGCCTTTCACGCAGGCTACTTCACATGTAATCGACCTATTAGTTTCCCGAAAATCACAGAAACGTTCAAGCTGTTTGTTCTTACAAAAGGTCAACATAGAAAGCGACTGTGGCTTCGTTGGACAGCTCTAACCAAACAGGGTTTCAAAACAGTTGGTTCCTGCTCCTAATTTAAAGGTGTCGATAGCTAGCGACCAAATGCATGTTAAGGGAATAGACACATGCTATTGACACTCAAAGATCAGGCTCTACTACAGCCCTGCTACTAGGCGATCTCAGCACTAATTTTCCTTCGTAACAATCCATAAATAGCTCAAGTTTCTCAAGAATTAATGTCATTTCTTAGGCCTAACTGCACTTTGAATTTATTGTTTGGTTTCAAAACGAACAAGTTTTCACTTACTATGGTACTGTACTGCAATTCCTGTTTCCTCCAATCAATGTGGTGTAAAACACGGAAAATGTCTTTCTCTGACCGTGGAAACAAAGAATAGCCTACTGAGAAGCTGCGAAAATAATTATTGAGAGTAACTTCAACATCTTCAGGGGCACCCAACGACCGTTTTTCACTGCAAATGATGAGTTTGAAGACAGCCAGCTGCTCCTTAAAAAACACAAATATCACTCCCACATTAAGTTTTCCGACTATTGCATTTAAGGGAAAGAAACTTGTTTTTCGTGCTATCACAATTATCAAGTTTAAATAAAGATGTCCACAAAGCACACATTCACCTCGTAACAACTAATAGTTTTAGTGCTTCGAATAGCGTAATCTTCTGAATGTTAATAAAAAGAAGACCTTTGAAATGTCAATAACTAGTTAAGCCCTACTGATTGCTTCCGTACAGATATTAAATTGTACAGTATTTGCAGTTAGTGATAAGCCAAAGGGGCTGTCGCTTACAGTTGAATTCGGGCATCACCTCTTACACCCTTTCGCTGAATTTGTTTACATTCTTGGTTCTATTTTTTCTTTGTGTCGTTTGGGTATCTTTAAAGACCCTTAAGCTGAGGCATGAAATGGAAATCTTACTAGTAAGCGAGTAAAAGGCTCCACTCTAACAGGGTGAATGAAGGACAGGGCAGATGGCGAAAAACAAATGGTATATATTACGATAGCTGTTCGCGCGCTTATTGGTCGGCAGGCGTAGACAATAAAGGCGCTATGAAGGCACAATTGTCGTTTCCTTTGACAACGGAACAGCTGTTGATATAACCGAGTCTGCGGTGAAATATTACTTGGTTTTGAAAGCAATGCAAACAAGGTCAATTGCTGATAAATAAAATTTATTATTCATTCATAATAATTCGACGTTTCTGATTGGCTCCAATCCCCCAGAAGATGTAGGCAATATTCAACCGATACGATAGGTTACTGCCAAATGAGCAAGCTATTTACGCATAAGTGGACTAAAAAATACTAGCCTGCGTAGCAAGTGTTTCCAATCGAGTTTTTGCGCGAAAGTTGGAGAGCCAAAAAAAAAAACAGAAAAGACAAAATGGAAGGGGGAATCATTGCTCTCTTCTTAACTTTCTCGACGAACTCGCGCGGAAACGCTTGCTACGCAGACTAAAATAGTGCGGAAAAAATTTACAGCTATCCGAAGATGAAAGAGCCGAATTTCGGATGAAAACTGAACGGAAGAAATGCAAGAATACACCAGAAAAAATTGCTCGATCGATGTCATCTACTTTTTGAGGAGCATCTGCAAGGAAAAGAAAACCATGCCGGAAATCAGCAAATGTTTGGAAGAAAGTCCACGAGGAAGTAAGGTTGTTAAGACCTTAAAGAAAATGAATAATAAAACGAATAATGGAAAGTTAAACAAATCTAGGACGCTGTTATCCAGCTCGGCCGATAACATCCCCCTAGCTCCGCATAATTACACACATTATACTCAGACTCGTTCATCAATAATTGTTAACGATGATCTGTGGTAGCCCAACACAAACATAACGTATCGAGTCATTATTTAAATCATTCTTTCCTAAACCGACAATCACAACCACTAAACGATTAACTTTGATATCCACTTTATTCAGTCATGCACTGTAGCAGCTTCTAAATTATAACCCATCTGTAATAAAGCTACAACCATTGCTTTGGCTAAAATTATTTTCACTTTCTTCCTCACAAAGGCTCCTTCCACGCGTTTGGCGAAAAAGGACTCTGCGTGGGGACTAGGAATTGAGCAAAGAAGGCGCGGGGAACGCCTGGAATGAGAAGGAGAAGGGCGTCCCCTCCCTCTATCGTAGTCAAAAGGCTTTGTGCTTTTGATTAGAGGGATTTCATTTACCGATAAGTAGAAACATAGGCAACGATGTAAAAAAAAAAGGTAACATATTAATTATTTTTTCTTAACACTGGAGATGATAGCCTTAGCCTTGAAGCCCTGTTTTAGCTTCGCAAGTTTTGTCTTGCTTGATCGCTGTCTATATTCCCCCGAATGCGGACATTGGGGATATTTTTTTCCAATACGCCACTTGCACCTCTCCCATAATGCACCGTATTTGCCCCCCAAAATTTTGCATAAGCATTGTTTTCAATTTCTCTTGGGACGGCTGTAATACCCAGGAGAATGAAGAACAAAGGTTATGCAAAATTTGGAAGTCAAATAAGGTGCATTATGGGAGATGTGCAAGTGGAAAAAAGAAGCCTGTGCGGGGGAGAAAGTTCCCCCCCCCCTACCACCCCCCTCTCAAAAATTAGGTATCAAAATCGTAGCCACAGTCCCCCGAGTACAACCCAACAAGGCAGTACCTACGCTAATAAGGTGAGTCTAGGCCTTTTTCAAAAGGTTTTTTTCTCTTACAATCTGAAGGAACAGGTTTCGTGAACTTTTTCAGTTCTATACACAGTTCTTACAAATGTCTTGGCTGTGCTGAAATGATGCCGATGGAGACACTACATTTTTATTGTTGTTGATGCAATAGTTCTTTCTGATTATGATTTTCCGCTTCGATCACCATGGTCACGACTCACGACGGACAAAATTAAACACAAGAAGAAAGATCGGACCAAGGCTTCCTAGTATAAGGGCACATAAGACTCTCCATAGAAAAATGATCAAAAGCTAATTGTTAAAGCCAATTCCACTAATAAATAACAGACAATGTACCAGTTCTGTCGCTAGGGCGCGCGCGTCTTCATTCACGCTCTGAACGGTGGACTTGTTTGCGTGGGAGGCTAACAATTTGGATCGACTAAATTCCCAATTAAATATAATTTTATGAAAAAAAAAAGATACTAGTGCAATAAATTATTACCATCTATTATTGATCACAAGTTATCAATAACTTCAAGTACCTTTAAATCATGCCATACGAAAAAAAACTCGATTTGAATTAAAGCAAAAATTCTCATCATTAAACTTTAAAACAAAAAACAAATACAGGCATTTCAAACTGAGATTCGAGTCACCGCAAACATCAAACCTAAAACTCACAACCACCTGAGTTTGACCAAAGCTCAAAAGTGCAATTACTTTGTTTACTAAAAATCTCTGATTCATGTGGTTACACTCCTCATACCCTTAAAACAATAAACTTCACAGATTTAATCAGTGTAAAAATATCCACTACGATCCACACCTAAAAACTGAACTGTGACTGAACTGAACTGTTTCAGTGCGATCAGGCTTAAGAAATAGTGATCTCCATCAACATTCTCCATGAACATTACACTTTCACACAATTAGCAGTTATTGCGAATTTATAAAATGATCGAGTGATCGGTGTCGACTTTAACACGTTCATCTTGTGCTAAAATAATAATAGGTATCCATTTGAAGATAATACAAAGGAACCCAAAATAGACTTACCCCGCTTCGGCTGATGTTTAGAAAATTGAGAAGGACTGAAGAGCATCACCGTACAGCTGAATCCAGTCAGCTACCCTCAATAAAAATCATTTAAGCTTACATAATCAACAACTACGTGAATGCCCGACTTTCTGACTCGACGGTCATCCGCCACCGTCAGGAAATCATACGATATTGCTTCTCGGACGAATCCCTCATTTTAATTTTCCCCAATTCAGTAAGCATAAGTTTGGGGCTAACTGCTTGAACGCCAGAAATCTTAGTGTGAGAACAGTTGAGGTTCAGCTTGATTCTATAGCCGATACTAAACTACCTGACATAAAGATAGACAACTGTTTTTAAATAACGGTATCGAATGTAGGAAAGCGACTTCGTCTTTTAAAAGAACAGATACATTTCTGTGACTGAAAGCTAGTAAGAAGTTTGTTTTACAACTCACTTATCCAGCTAATACTTGACTACGGGGGTATTGTCTTGGGGACATGAAGCAAACCGAAGCCAAACGTCCAACACGTAATCAATTTACAAAAACGATGCGCCAGAGGAATCCTAGACAAAAAATGAGACACCCCCTCGGGGCCTTTATTTAGAGACCTTAACGTCATGCCATGATTTGATAAGAGACAAGAACGCGCTTACCGCGGCTTTCAGTCTCGCTTGCTTTGAGATAAGATCGAGAAAGCTTAGGATAAAGCCTGGTTTCCATATGATGTCCCGATCGCCCTTGTCGTTTCAAAATATTTCGAGACGATCCGGACGACTGGGGCGATTGGTAGTTTCCACATGATCGTCTCGATCGCCTCAAAGGCAAGAGACGCGGGGACTTCAGCGATGTCTCCGGGTCAGACAATAGAATTTTTGCACGTGTTTTGCCAACAAGCCACATAAAGGGATGATTTTTATTCGTAAAGCGAACCTAGTACTTTGGTATCTGCTTTTTCTCTTGACTTTGCGGCATTGAGAAGCTAGAAGAGTTCACCGAAGAGATAGTATCTCTTCGAAAACTTGATGTCACAGACTTTCTCTAATTTCAAATAACCCCCATACGCGCTGCTAACATTTGTGTATTATGTTTTCGGCTTCAGCGCCATCCGGGCCGAATTTATTCTCGATTACCGGAATAAAAGTGATGACTTCTGGGATAGCCTTCGATCGTCCCGATCGTCTCAGTCGTCAAAGAGCGTTTCCATACGATCGCTTCAAAATTTACATGATCGTCCCGATCGTTCGGATAGAACTCAACTCTATCCAAGCGATCGAGGTCGTCTCAGTCGTCCGGGTTGTTTGCGATCGTCTGGGTAGCGTTTCCACATGATCGTTCCGATCGTCTGAACATTTTTTGAGACGACTGGGACGATCGGGACGATCCGGACGATCATATGGAAACCAGGCTTAACTGTATAGGAATATTTTTATTCATAAAAGTGGCCTTGTCCTTGTGGCCGGTATTACCGGAGAAAACGGTACCGTCCAGCGGGACATCCTGAGTTTTAGCAAATTTGTTAGGAGGTACATATCATATCTGGGTTTTTTATTGCTAAACGGTCATTCTTTAGGTTTCCAAAAGGCCAGGGTAATTAAACAGGAGTGTTTTTTTTTTCCGTAAAAAATGCCTTGTCCTTTTGGCCTGTATCATTTAAGGAAATAGTACCGCCTAGCAGGACATCCTAAACTATGTCAGCAGTTGCTTGCATGTATTACTACATGACATGCAGCTTGTTATTGTTACATTGTAGTACATACCTTGCCCTATGAAGGCTTTTTCCTACCAGCTGGGGACAGCTGAACAAAGATAGTTTAATTCATTTCTTGTTGTCGTTGTCACTGTTGTCACTGTTGTCGCTGTTGTCACTATTGTCCCTGTTTTCGCTTTTTCACTGTAGTCGCTGTTGTCGCTGTTTTCAGTGTCGTCGCTGTTGTTACTGTTGTCACTGTTGTCGCTGTTGTCACTGTTGTCGCTGTTGTCACTGTTGTCGCTGTTGTGACTGTTGTATGCTGTTGTCACTGTTGTCGCGGTTGTCGCAGTTGTCACTGTTGCACTGTTGTCGCTGTGGTCACTGTTGTCGCTATTGTGGCTGTTGTCACTGTTGTCGCTGTTGTTATTGCTGTCACTGTTGTCCCTGTTGTCGTTGTTCGCACTGTTGTCGCTGTTATCGGTGTTGTAACTGTTCTCGCTGTTTTCGCTTTTGCTAGTGTTGTCGCTGTTTTGAGTGCTGTCGCCGTTGTCGCTGTTGTCACTGTTGCCGATGTCGCCAGTGTTCTCACTTCTGTCGCCGTTGTCACTGTTGTCGCTGTTGTCGCGGTTATTCCCCCGAAATCAAATTCAACTGACTTATGAGGAAGAAATTGAAAGCAAATCTTAACGAAGGCTCGAGATTTCAATAAAACAGGACAGAGAAAACTTCAGAGAAACGGCTCCTTACCTCGAGCAACCGGGCCACCATTGTCTGCACTTACGAAGAACAACACAAATTAGCTGCACAAAAAACCTTTTTCCCTAACTTGGCGAGTCGGCAGATGAAAACAAAGCTCTACTTTTCTTCTTAGGCTTGGAAGTACAATTTACAGCTGAATTTAAACTTCTGGCGATTCCATATAACCCATTAGGCTATTGTTTCCGATTTGCTTTGCAATGTTTGAAAATTCTGTAAAGATCAAACCTATTGTTTACCGATTTCCACGCGTGATTGGATCCGTAAATCAAATTGAGCTTTTTGGTTTCTTTACTGATTTAGAAATATCCTCTTAACTTCGCCGTAAATATTCCGCTTCTACTAACCTCGTGTTCAATAAAGAATAATCGCTAATTGTCCAATGTGAAGTGCGGAACAAAATATCAGTCAAGCAGGAAAAGGCTGTGTTCCACAAGATTCCCGCCTTTCCGTTCATGTCCTTGACAAAAATACTGGAAACCTTTATACTTTCTTTTCCTTCCTCTTTCAATAGAAAATACGTCCAAACGGTCGCTTTTACGGTCGTCTTTGTAGGACCCGCGCATTTCGTGTTCAACGCTTATCCGGGCCGCAATGATACTCTCCTCTTTACAGCTGTTCCAACAAAAACGATGGTCCACGCGGTCGCTTTAACTGTATTTCTACCGTTTCTTGTAAAGGATCCGTTTCTGTAGAAGTTTTAACCAGTTTCTGTGGTAGGGTTTTCGTTGAAGAAAGACAGTTTATCAAGTACACACCCTTCACATGGTGCCTCCACTTAGGCAGCCCTTTTTTTTTCATTTATTGACCGCGCCTCGCTTTGGCGCGCTGAATCTTCCGGAAGTCAACCAGTTTACCGGAAATTGTTTCCGCATGGTCCGTGTAGTTCTAAAAATAACTTTTTTGAAATTAAGATATCCCAAAGGCGTGACTGGGAGACTGCTTCTCTGTCCTATTATTGCTCTTGGTATTACAATGTCTTGCAAATGTCTGTTTTAAAGCGAAGGCAGTTTGGCGCGAGTGAGCAGTTCCTCCTCCGTTTCAGTTTGGGATTTATATACTGCGCGCAGTGCACGCTCTTGGATACGCTCGATCTTTCTGCTATCAGATGATTTGCAGAATTTCCATACTAGATGACAGTAAGTTAAGTATGGCAAGATGGACTTCTTGTATAACATTAACTTCGCGTTACAAGGTATTAAGTTTCGCAGGCGTACAAGTATTCCTACTCTTTGACCAGCTCTTGTACATCACTCGCTTATATGACCCGCAAAGTTGCGATTATTGTCAGTGTAGACTCCTAGTAATTTAGAATGTAGTTGGAGCAAATAAAAGGGAATTTTTTAAATATGTCATTTTGGTCTCTACACTGTAGGACCTAAAGTGGCTAACATGAACAGAGGCATTTTAGGCCTGAGGAAACAACACATTTTTAAGAGAGTACGTTTATAGCAATTAAAAGGGATGAAGTGTTCTAAAGAACTAAGTATGTGAGAGGTGATAACATTTGTCAATCGAAGGTATAGGAAAGGGCTGCCTTTTCTGTCAAAAGTGGTTTAAAAGAAAAAGGAGTTGGCATTAGGAACAGAGCCTTCCGGAATAAAACTTTTTTGAACTTTCCCCCCCACCCCCCCCCCTCCTCCCCCGGCTAGATACTGTTAGAGTTTAGTAAAATTACCCTCGTGAAAAGGTAAAAAAGGTGACTATTACACGTTCGTTCTGATTTATATTCATCCTCTCGAGAATATGAGTTCGGTGTTCAATTATGCTCATTATGCTCTGTTCTCGAACCGGTCATCAGTGAAGAGCCAGGTGTTGAGCTAGTTGTCGTCAGATTAACGCGTAGTTAATTTCAGTCATTCAACCGGTTATAGCCTTTAATTAACTTGCTAATACTGTATTTACTGATGTTGGCAGTTGCAAAAACGACTTCCCAAAAAGGTACTACTTCTCAAGTGGGCAACTGAAATGGCGATTCTCCTTCCATTTCCTCGTTTGAATGTGCCAACACTTTTCAAGGTTAGTTACCAGAATTTATCACCTAATTTGTTTCGTTTTTTGCTTGATAATGTTTGTTGTTATATTCCTAGACTTTCACTTAACTAAACAGGGACTGCCATTGGTTGATTCTTGGTCACGTGGCCTTGACTAAAATCAAATGTATCCCGATCGTGATACATTAAAGCAATGTACCCTGCTCCGGATACGTTGCAGCACGTGATCAAATCATGGTGGAAAGTGGCGTGACAAAAGGCGGGAAAAATACTGCCAGGTCCTGCCAGTTTTCTTTTTCGTGAATGAACACAACAACACAAACACGAAGCCTCAAGCTAAAAAGCAACGATTTTTAAAGTTATCCAAGAAGTTCCCAGAAGAAAAACAGCAGCTGGTGGAGGAAAATGATGCAGATAATGTAGGGAAGGTAAGGGGAAGGTATTTTGTAAATCATTCATTCAGTGGTTTTGAGAATTAAATTTGTGTTGCTGTAAGTACCGAGTCGACTGTTTTGGTTCGCTCCGGTTATTCTCTTGTTGCTCTTGAAGTGAAAGTCTAGAAATATAACAAAACACTTAATGTCAGGTCCCTCGGGAAACCAGTTAGTTTGTTTTCCCACGAGTCCTGATGTTTCCCTCGACTTCGTCTCGGGAAACATCAGGACTCTTGGGAAAACAAAACTAACTGTTTCCCTCGGGATCTGACATTAAGTGTATAATAATGTTGAATATTGAATATGTGTTATTTTGTGTGGAGGTTTTAAAACCATACTCTGATTTGCTGAGCCATTTTGTGTTGATGTAGGTGACAGTGTCCATTGTTCTGCTGATGCCATTGGTATCTGCTTCAGTTGCTTGGCCATCAGCTGCTGGAGTCCGCATTCCAAATTTTGCCGCGGCCAAGGCAATAATTAACAGGGACAAACCGAATTTAAACTACGCCAAACTCTGCCAAGGGAGGCTAGAAGAGGGGCAGATGAAAAAGGTCTGTCATCTGAAAGACGTGCCAAGCGTGGCCTTCTTGTTCTGCAAATACCAACTGGATTGTGAATATTACATTAAAATGGAGGTTAATAACATAAAGAAGCTTATTACTGGGGGCGTTAGAACGGTGGAGATTGATACCCAATGGATCGAGGACGTCAAGTGTGGAAGTGAGGTCGACCTTACCTGTACTGGATTCTTGGAGGGATGGGTTGGCGGAGGTTGGTTACAGCGTCTGGACACTATATTCTTGGGCGGTAAGGATCCTGTCAAACAATTGATCAAAACCATCCGGGAAAAGATCCCAACTTCCCAAGGTCTGAAGGAGACGGCCGAGGATCTGATAAAGGTCAAAGCTTTCATGTTTGCAGGGAAAGATATTAACTTGATTTGTGATCTACAGGGCTTTTTCTTGACAGCTGGAGGTTTCCAGGTCAGCGATCCTGAGGACATTAAAAAGGTAGATAACCCGAAAGAGAGCTGTCCCGCCCATGACCCTGGAACCAAATTGCCGACCGCGCAACAAGTCCGCGAGGGATTGGATCTATTAATTCAAGATTTGTCGAAGGGATGAGAGAAAAAAATTCGGACGATAATCTTAATTTTAATCTGAATTTAACTCCAATTTACCTGGCCTATTTCCTTGAAGCCTTTCTTTAATTTGTGCAAGAAATAAATGAAAATGTCACGTGGATGCATGCATCGTTGGTTTCATGTCTTGCAACTTTTAAAGTTTTTGGTGATAGTTAAAAGGGGCTCGCTATTTACTATTTTTTGGGTTAATAGAGTTTGGCATCAATTGAATTTTAATGGTCTAGACTTGTTATTCAAGATTACATTTTGGTATTGAAACGTTTTACTGTCGCTTGTTGCGACGGATGGCAGGGATGGACATATATATTTATTGAGCCAACTTTTTTTTAATATGCCTCCAATAAAAACGAACAAACAAAAAAAGTGGCATTTAGTTTGTATCACTTTCAAAGCGAGGCTAAGTGCGAAGCCATTGACATGAAAATGATTTTTAATTATGATGCAAATAAAACTCATTTTCACAACAAAGGTTTCGCACTTCGCCCCGTTTTGAGAGTGAGATTTTTTGGAACTCGGAAATGGCCTATTCACAAGAGTTTCTCGACGCTTCAATGTGCTGCTCTTAACATTTCTACACGCTTGGCCAAAAAAACGGACAGATGAACTCATGAGCAAAACTGACTTTTATTTTCTGATTAAATACAAAAATTCTCGAACCTGCAAGAATAAAAATGTGCTGTTTGATTGGCTAATTTACAACAGGCCACATCCTCGCAATCCACGGTTTTGTGTGGAAAAAAATTGACTACCGGTACTGAGGGTCCCTAATAGGGTTTTTCAATCCCTTAATCCTGACCCAAGATTTCGAGCAATCCCGTAATCCCGAGGGTTATTTTTGGCATCCCACCTTAACCTCGTCCCCATGGCCTTTCCCTTAAAAGCCCGGGGGACGAGGTTGATCCCACCTCCCGCGCATACTTTCAATCTCGGATCCCTCCCTATTGGGGAGCCTCGGTACTTGCAAACAGATCGCGGAAGGTATCGTCCTAAATATTCATAGTTCGTCACACAAAACAATATTTCGAAACACTTTCATGGTAAAAATGAGTGGAACGTTTGAAGTCGAACCAAGAAAGAACACGAAATTCAAGTGGACGTCCCTTTCTGAAGCATGAAACTGAACATGCTTGTTGTAAGATAAGCGCGTAGTTAATGAAGGACAATCCTTGTGACTTGAAATGGAACTATTTTCTTTACCAGAGGTTTTGTCTCTCAGTCACACAGAAGGCCGCTCTGCTAATGAACTATTTATGCTTATCCTTGCTCCGATCCATAACCTGGTTTCAGTTATGGCTGACCTGGCCAACAAGAGTGTTCTCAGATGATTTTATCTTGGATGTCCGATGATGGAACGAAGCCACATCTACTCGTGTAGAGAAATTCCTGCGACAGACTAGTCTAGTAATGGCTGCACGAAATTCAGCTATCCTTAAAATATAGACTACAAAATTGAGAAAAGAATTGCTCAAATGCACAAACTTGCTCACTGAGGAGAGATAAGAGAGCAGTTGAAATCTCTTGAACAGGCACGGACGACAAAGATTAACAATGCTTAACATTATTGGATAAGGCAGCCCTGTAAACACGAAAATCACAGTGGCTATGACGAGTGTGATCGCTAAGCGCTTGTCTTTTTTTCTCACAGTTCTGTCGGCTCCAGAGACATCGCTGCTTCTTTCCAATCTTACTTTAAGCCACAGTATGATATAAGTTATAATAGTGAGAACAACTGGAGAACAGTACGATGTAGTGACAAAGGTAAACATTAGACCCTGAGGTAAAAACCTGTACATATCGAATAGCGGCAAACACGAAAACGAAAATCACAGTGGCTATGACGAGTGTGATCGCTAAGCGCTTGTCTTTTTCTCTCACAGTTCTGTCGGCTCCAGAGACATCGCTGCTTCTTTCCAATCTTACTTTAAGCCACAGTATGATATAAGTTATAATAGTGAGAACAACTGGAG